GGGGGGGGGGAGAAATCACGTAAGATTGCAACTTTTCTCCCCCAAACAACTTGGTGAAAGGGCGCCACTTTTTTCCCCTCCCCACACAACGCGTCGTCCGTTTTCCCCCCCGGACAGGGCTGTTCACGGTCCCGCACGACGGCCGCTACCTGATCTCCGGCCTCCTGACGGCGGCGCCCGGCGAGTCGGTGGAGGCGATCCTGTCCGTGTCCCGGCGCGGCGTCCACAGGCTTCGGAGCTCGGCGGCGTCCGGTCGGGACGCGTGCGGCTGCGGCGGCTCCGTGTCCTTCGGCCTCGTCGTGCCGCTGAAGCGAGGCGACCGCGTGGGCCTGCTGAGGACGGCGGGGCGGCTGGCCACCACCGAGGCCCGCGAGGTGCTCTCCACCTTTGGCGCCCTCTTCCTGTACGGACCCCGAAGCGACCGCAGATAGCTCAAGCTCAGAGACTGCTGTGTGAACCGTGTGCACACAAACGAACATCACCTAATATATTTGACAGTCTTTGTACCGCCCATTGTGATGATGCAAAAGTCTTTATAATTTAACACTCATAATCTGTGACGTGACGCCAATAAATGGGCATATATGAACTCGAGAAGACGATTCATCAACATGCAGGGGGAAAAAATGAACTCTTGACTCCTGAGATAACAGCACAGCTTCACCAAATATATATGTAGTGGTGCCTTGACATACAAGTTGAATTTGTCCCGAGGAACTTTTGAGGCCCCCGAAAAGGAGAACAAATAATAAAATGGAGATATACTGCAAGCTGAATGTTTCTGAAAAAAAAAAAAAAATAATGACGCATTCGCCAATATTTATGCTCATTGAAGAAGTCCGGTGCTAACTTTGTGGCGTACATGCCAGAGGTCATCGAAGGGAGGCGCTTAGTGGTCAACACCGATTTTGTTTTTGTAAATTAGCACCACTCTGTTTGCAGCGAGGACACTTTTTGAAATATGGAACCCACGCAGACACATGCAAAAATCATCCTGACAAAAACCCAAATCAGTTTACAATTAATTGATTCGCCGCACAGTTATCACCAGACATTCTTCATTCTCGAGACACGTGCATCGCCTTCCTGTCATAAGCTGGCCAAGGATATTTTTATTCTTCCACTTTTCCTCTTCAACATTTGACTTTGGACAAGACAAAATGGAGCCCAAACGCAACCATTTTCAGTTAGAAACTTTATTGATTACAAACGGAGACCGTGACGGCCACAATCAGCATCAGTAGGCCTATTTTCTTCCTTCTTTTAAATGTATTTGCTCTTTACCATTTGTATTTTGAAAGATACTCTCAACCACATTTGGATCTACAAATGAACACTGTGCTTGTTCCGTGTGGGTGGGACACACACGCAAGCAAGCATTATTCACTTTAGAAGAAATGACAAACAAAAGAAGACACACACACACAGCCCCCCCAAAAAATCAAAGGCAACAGATGTGGGTGGGACACACACACACAAGCAAGCAAGCATTATTCACTTGAGAAGAAATGACAAACAAAACAAGACACACACAGCCCCCCCAAAAAATCAAAGGCAACAGAGTAATCCACACATCCTAAAAACGGGATTTGTTTTCGTTTGTGGCTTTGTGGTATAATATAACAAAGACGTGTGTGATGCGGCGGGATGGTGTGCGCTGTCCACACGAGATACTTTACTTTCATAGAAAGAATGGATCATTGATGAATATATCGCGAACCAGGGGACACGTGTGACTCAACCGTGGATGCAATAACGCGAACTGATCCTGACCACGCAGTTGTTTGCGTCACTTGTGCTTAAAGTCCTGCTTTTTTTCCCCCCAAACGTTTGGTCCTCGCTCCCGCGGTAACTCACAGAAACATACGCAAATCACTTCCTGTGCACATCCGCCACTAGCTAGCTGTTTTGACAAGATAAGCAAAAAAAAGAAAAAAAGCCGTGTTGATAGCACGTCTCCGTTTTCCGTGAGTGGCATTTTTCCACCCTGTGGGGGTCGCATCGGAGGCGTAACAGAGGTGGCACTGCGTCTGCGTGTCAAAAGCAATTGTCGCTGCCCATCGAGTATTTTATGTCCATTGCGGCCCGAGGGGAAAAATTGAAGTCCGCACGTGAATTCTTACAAAGTATCAGATGACAGCGGGAAGCTGAGAGTGAAGGTTTACATTTTCAGACCAAGTATTTTGTACGTCACCCAAGCAGGGATTTCCCCCCGACATTTTCACTTGTGTGAAAGGTAGGCGAGACGTAAGAGTCGCCACTGTCCTGTGTGGAAGGTACCGCAGTGTGATGGGGGTGTGGAAGTCCATGTGCAAATTTGTCAGCTTGTCATGATCGTGTTAAGCTCCGACCAAATAGGTTCACTGGCCATGCCCCTTTTGGTGAGGAAGCAACTGCCGCTGTCAATTTTCACACACATATTATATATATATA